TATATATATATATATATATATATATATATATATATGTATATGTGAAATAATAATAATAAAATACATGATACAAGAAGAACAAAAACAAAACATGAGGAATACAATCCAGCAAGGTATTTATGGCAACCACATGCCACCACACCACACCTGAAACACAAAGAAACCTGTCTACACAAGTAATCAGTTGTACCAACACCATTAGGTATTTTCGGTACTTTACCAACACTACTGAAAGTGAAAGCTTGTCCTAGCAGAAAACTTAGTATGGATGATTGACTACAGTCAGTCATGAACATGCAAATCTTTCATGCATGTCCAATAAGTACAGCATGCAAAAAAGACTGAATGCTGAATTAGGACATTACTTTTTTCTACTTTAAAAACACTTGTGCATTGTTTCACAGATTTGCCCAAACTGCATTAAGCAGTTCTTAACATGAATAAAACACACGGCTCGTGTTCTTTCCAATCACGTGACAAACAGAAGACAAGTAATATCCCTAAGCATTCCAGAGCATGAGAGACGCCCTCTCTTCTTATCCAGGTATAAATGCAACTCCCTTTATTCTTTTCTACAAATAGCTCAGGAGGAGTTTTGCAGTGACAACTCCTGAATGTCTCGAATGATGTAAGTACTACAAACTAATTCTCTCTCACCGGAAAAATCTGAATAAATTACTTTGGAATACACTTTTACAACAAGCAAAACATTAAATGTTATGTAAAATACAGTTTATTGATGTAGTTATGTAATTAATTAATAAATTTTTGTGTTCATAAACTTGTTTGCGTCGATTAGTTAGTTGTGCAGAAATTTAATTTATTTCTATGTGGATTTTTTTTTAAACCACAGACAGACATGCTGTATTAGGAAAATTATCACAACTTTACAAGAATTTCCAGAGTTTTGAAAATGGAAGCATCAGGAAAACTGCTGTCATCACGACTGCTTTCCCTGCTGAAGAACGGACAATGGGGACATGATGATGTCGTTAAGTTGTTTAAAGCCCTCGTGGAGCAATGTAATGGCAGAAATGAAGATTTTCACACATGGATGATGAGAATCCTTCATCAAGTGGAGATTCACAAAATAAGTGTGTCTGATTTGACATCGAATGACAGTAACATTGTGGATCAGGTTGAGGAAGAAATTAATAAAATAGCCAAAAACACTGATGAGAAAACACTGGATGAGATTATGAAGGAAATCTGTGAACAAGCAGTTATTGATGAAGAAATGATGGCACAAGTGAAAGATATTGTGTCTTCTGTCTCCAAATGTCTATCATATTCCACAGCACCACATCTACAAGGAATAAAGGAAAGTTTGTTTAAACTCTGCAAAGCTGTAGAAAAGACAGTGAAATATAAACCTCGCCTGACTCAGATGGTGAGCTGGTGCATTCTGGTTCTTTCTAAATCAAGTCGGCTGGTTCAGGTTGGAACAGGAGAAGGAAAGTCGTGTATCGTGGCAATGTTTGCAGCATATCAGGCCATGATGGGAAACACCCCTGACATCATCTCCAGTTCTCCTGTACTTGCCAAAAGAGACGCTGAAGAATGGTCTGCATTTTATAAGAGACTGAATATCACTGTTGACGTCAACACCAATAAATCAGAAGACAAAGAGCTGAAGAAGTGCTATGAATGTCAGGTGGTCTACGGTACGACTGACAGTTTTGCAGGTGATTTTCTGAGACAGCGCTTCCACAGAAAAGATGTGAGACCTAACAGAGAGTTTCAGTGTGTTATAGTGGATGAGGTGGACTCGCTAATGCTGGACAAAGGTCTTGAAGTGGTTTATTTGAATAGTAATATGCCTCTCATGGAAACTTTGAATGGATTACTGGCTGAAATTTGGTTTGTCATCAACCAGCTGAAGCGTTTAGACTCTGGAGAGATTTTAGGACCCATTCGGCTCCTCTCTCAGATTCTGTCTGAAATCATGCATGAACATAAAAACACTTATAAAGTCAGTTTTGTGCAGAATGCTGTAGATGAAGCAAAACAACTAGATAATGCAAGTTCTGCTGAAACAGAAGCATTTTTAACCATGTTTGTGAGAAACTTCCCCGAATATTCCTTTAAACTTTATCAGGAAGGTCCTGATGGGAATTTAGAGAAACTTAATGAGATCAGTCCCAGAGGTACAACTAAGAAACAAGCAATATCTGTTCTGCTCCTGGGAAATGGAAAATGTCGTTTAGTGTACTATGAGGACTCTCTAGTTAAATCATTGGGTAAAATGATTAACAAGTATTTGCAGTATGAATCAAAAGGGGAACAACATGAATCTTGTATCCCAGGCTTTCGAGATCTCATTGATGGAAAGTTGCAAACCTGGATTGAAAATGCTCTGCAAGCCACCAAAATGACTGTGGGGCATGAATACATTTTTCATGGAGATGGAGTTGTTCCTGTCGATTACAAATGCACTGGTATCGTGCAGAACAACATGAGATGGGGGGAAGGACTTCAGCAGTTCCTGGAGATGAAACACCAAACTAAACTGTCTAACATGAGTCTAATCACAAACTTCATGTCTAATGTGGGTTTATTTAAGAAATACAAAAATATCTATGGGATCACGGGAACTTTGGGTGACCAAACAGAGCTTGACATGCTGAAGAAACTCTACAATGGCAATGAGACGTGTAAGATTCCCTCATTTAGACGAAGGAAACTTTATGAGTTGGAGGGTTTGGTGATAGCTGAAGAAGACGAGTGGATCAGGACCGTCTGTAATGTTGTTAAACATCAAGTGACCTCTACAGTTTATCGAGGTCCACGAGCAGCTCTCGTCATCTGTGAAACCATCAATCGTGCAGAAATATTTCACAAGACTCTTGCAGACACCATCTCAAAAGACAAACTAAAACTTTATGTGAATAACAACATGGATAACTCTAAGATAATATATAATAAAGTCCAAGCGGGGGACGTCATCATTGCAACTAATCTAGCAGGTCGAGGTACAGACCTAAAGGTCAGTGAAAGTGTAAATGAGGCAGGAGGTCTGTTTGTGGTGCAAACCTTCTTACCTCTGAACGTCCGTGTTGAACAGCAAGCATTTGGACGAACGGCTCGTCAAGGAAGTCCAGGATCTGCTCAAATCATCATGTGTGCCAGTCATTTCTCTGACTCTGTTAAACTAGTGATGAGCCTAAACACATCTTTTACCAGTTTATTCAGCCATCTGAACCGTCTTACTACACTGATGTCACGTCTTACAAGTATATTGATGCCACGTGGATCCACAGAGGGTCTTTTTGAGGAAGCAGTTAATCATTACCTGAAACATAACAGCTTTCAAAGTCATAAGGCAATGGTCTCTGCTCTCACAGGACTCTTAACAATGAAATCATTCCCATGCATGGAAAGCAATCTGGAAAAGGCAAAAGATGCCAGAAATATTCTGGTGAACATCAGACTCTCTGGGTTCCTTGAAAAAGACATTCCAAAAATCACAAAAAAGGAAGATATTTTTTCTGTCTACCTTGAAATTTTGAATGGCGTTTATGAAGATGATGTTTTTTCAGACCAGCGTGATGTAATCGTGTCCTCTCTTCATGAGTGCTGGGGTTTGTGGCTCCTGATGAACTCCAGTGAGGAAAAGCCCACTGAGACGATGAAGGAACAGCTGAAGCTGGACTTGTCGAGTGCAAAGCGAAAACTTTTGTGCAAACAGTCCCCATCCTCCATGGTCTACTATTACATAAGATCTGGGAACAATCTCCGTGAGAAGGGCCACCTTACTGAGAGCATTGAGATGTTCACCAAAGCTTTGGGGGACGGTATTTGCTGGGAGATTATTCCTCTCTATAATCGTGCATTGGCCACTATTAAGAAGAAAGACATTGGCTATATTGCACGAGCATTGGCTGACCTGCAAAGGGCTGACATGGCAATAGATTCATACAAGTCTCATCTGGCACAGATTCTGACATATGTGAAGTCATCAAGCCAAGAGCCAAAAGTGGACGGGGATACTTTGCTCTCCAAACAGTTTAGAGTGAAGTATATGATTGTAGATCTACTCAAGATGAACATTCAAGACTCTGTAATAAAGTTGAAGAGGGTTGAAAGCAGAGGAGGAAATGTGAGACTGTCAGAAAAACATACAGTTTTTCTGGCAGAAGGCTTGATGAAGTTTGTTATAAGCAGAAGAGATATACGCCTGGCTGAAATCTTTGCAATTGTTCTGATAGATGACTTTATAACGAGAGCTGAAATCAAACGAGAAGATGTGAACCTGGCTGAAAAATTTGCCAAATTTTGGCCAGAAAACTTTATGAAGGGGGCTGAAATTGGAGGAGATGTGAAGCCGCCTGAAATACTTTCTTGCAGAAGAACTTCTTCCTTTCTGCCTGGTGACTTTCTGGTAGAAGATCTGATTCTCAGTCCAGTACGAGTTCTGATAGAGCTTCTAGTGGAATTTGAACATATTAGGTCTTTGGGTCTTGACAACATTTACTCCTTGGACACCATATTTTCTTTCAGTGGCTTTTTGTCAAACATGTTTAAATAATCTTGAAATGTCTTGATGTGCTATCAGAGGTGGACAAATTTACACACATGTACACACATACACACATTTGTATTTATAAAGGACTGTTATTCAAATGACTTCACATTTATGTGTTTGTCATGTGGATACAAACTTACTAGGAATATGCCTCTGAAAAAAAAAATATTGAATTTGAAAAATGTCAATTATGAAAGATATTAGAAATACATACAAAGATAATACACCATATTCATGGTTAAATTAGTAAGATATTATGCTGTGTATTTATCTATGCTCTATTTACAAATAAGTGAAAAAGTGAACCTACATGTATTGGAATTATGTAAAAACAACAACAAGGAAATCAGAAGATCATTATCATTTTCTTTTTCTCATTTGCCTTTAATTTCTGATGTGATTTTTGTTTGATGTTTTAATAGACCAGCGATACTTCACAAATTATATATCAAGGAGTACTTATGGAATCAATATGGTGAAACAATAAAGTAACTATTTACTTAAGGTGGCCAATTTGCCTGTTGCCCATTATTTGTTCTGTTCTCCTTGTTTCTGACTGTTGATTGAGAATGGCTTATTTGGTGCTTGTTCGTCATATTACAGCATCATTCATGTGCAGTACATTTCCATCCATGTACACATATTTTGGTTAAAATCTAAAATATTTTAGAGAAAGAAATCTTTTGTCACATTTTTTACACAATTCATTAAACAATTAAATTACTTCACGTCATGGAGGCCACACTAACATCATTAAAAAATAATGAAATGTTTAAAACTAAATGTTTTCTTAGGAATATTGCTTTAATATTCAGTTGTAATCAATTTGAATAAGTTTTGTTTGTCATGCTGAGTCCCAACCGCATTTAAATCCAGCAGTGAATCCTCTAAATAAGGATTTGGTTCCTTGAATCTTTCTCTAGACTGCGGAAATTTTCATAATGATAACCATAGCTGATTTCTGTTATGGAGTAACCAGAACATGAGACATGCGGATCCATGTGCAAAGCTTTTATTAAGACGTGGTCATAAACAGGCATAGGTCAGACATAGGCAAACTGGTATGTAGAAGACAAGGCAAGGGTAGTCCGGTAAGCAAGCGAGGGTCAGTCGACGACGAACGTAATCCAACAGGGCGAGACTAGAGAGATAATCCAGGTACAAAGCAAAGGTCCAGGCAGGGGCAAACAGTATCCGAACAGGGCAAGACGAGAGAGGTAATCCAAAGTACACAGGCAATGATCAGAAGACGAGGAAACAGACAAGGCAAGACTAGGCTAGACTACGAAACTTAAAGCAGGCTCCGTAACGTAGCTATCACAACTAGCGATATGCACATACAATACTCGGCAGCCTGAGTGAGTGTTATTTAGTGAATGTGTGATTGGTTACAGCTGTGTGCAATCAGTGTTGTGTGCAATCAGTGCAATGGATGATGGGATATGTAGTCCGGG